TGGGCTCCGCGGGGCCGGGGCGGGGGCGGCGGCCGCAGGGCAAACCCCGCCCACCTCGGGGTTCCGGGCTGCAAGGATCCGGGGCGCCCCGAGGTGGTCCCCGACCGTCCCCCCCCCCCCCCCAACCCCCCCCAACCCCCCGCGGTCCCAGCGGAGCAACCGAGCCCAGAGCGGGGCGCAGCCTGAGCGGCCGGACGGCAGCGCGCACGTCCGCCTGCGCCCCCCGCCCCAGCGCGGCGGCTCGGGGTTCACCCGCGGCGGCGGGACCGCCCCTTCCTGCACCAGCTGGTGCCCCTGGGCAGCCACAGCGCACCGGGCGGCGCCCAGGCGGGGAGCGGGCCGGGCGGGAGCGCACCCTGAGCCCCGCGCTCCCCTCCGGCGGCCCCGGCCCCCCGGGCGGCTTCACTTGGCCCCCGGAGGTGAGGGTCCAGGACAGGGACACGGGCTGCCTGGCTCAGAGCTCCCCGGACCACGCCACAGGCGATGGCAGCCTCATTTCTGGGCATGCCCACCGCTCTGGGAGCGGAGGAACGGAAGGCAGAGATGCAACAGGTAGGTACCCCATAGGGCCCCCTCACAGCTGCACTTGTCCCCCCACGGGAAGGGGGCTGCCTTGCAAACTGTCGGAAAAGCCCCGGATAAAGCAGCTGTATGAATCCGCACACGGAAGTAAGAGGAACAGCCACAAAGGAAGCCCGCCGACCTAGTTTGGGCTCAGATGGGAGAGCATCGCAGAGCTGGGCAGCCACCTCTGACTGCTCAGCCTGAGCCGACCCGCTCCGTCTGAGGCTTCAGACACGCGAGGCCAGGAGCCCGCTTTGTTTCTAAGCTGGCTTGAGTTGTGTTTTCCTGTTCTTCATCCCTGAAAGCATCCTGACAGAGACGCATTCCTGGAGCCCCTGCTCTTCCTTAAAGAGTGAACTGAGGCAGCCCGATTTGATGAAAAGACCACTCATCAGCTTAGGGCGATCAGAAACCTTGTCTGGGTTGCTCACTCTGCTCTCCCTGCCTCCCGGGACAGCGCCTGGCATGGAGGAGGCCCTCCATGCACTTCTGTTGAATGAAGGAACTGCGTGGTGCTAAGAAATGGAACTCAATCCGGGCTCTGCCATGTCAGCGCCTTGGCTTCTGCATCTGTAAAGGGAGGCTGAGGCCGAACAAGCTGGGCTGCCTCCCAGGCCTGCGGTCTCCGTGACAGGGTGGTGGTGGTGGTGGTGGTGGTGGTGGTGGTGGTGGTGGTAAGGCACAGCTCGCACAGGGAAGGGGCAGGGGTGTTATTTGAAATGGCTCCCTTGTGGGGGACAGTTTTCTAAGCCTAAGGGTTAGGGAGCCTGGGGGTGGAAGAGTTCCTTTGGAGTTCTGAGTACAACGAAAGCAAGCGCTTTCTGTTCCTTCAGGGAACCTGCCTCCCGCTGTGCTGCCCTGGGAGGAAGATGCTGAACTCCCTGTCTTTTCCGCTTCTCAGGTGTCCAAGGAATGCAGCCGCACACCAGGCTTTGGGGCAGGCTGACTCGGGGGAGGGCAGGGTGAGGGCAGTCGGTCAGGGCTTGGTGCAGTGTGTTGGGGTCATCAGGGTTCTTTGACTTTCTGCTCCGTCCTCCTCACCAAACTGGCCTTACTGCCTCTGGTCACAGGCAGTGAGCCATGCTGCAGGCATCTGGCTCAGTGTCGGTGGGCTGAAGGCAGTGGGACACCAAGGACAGAAGTGTTTTCCATAAGAGCCCAGCATGCTTTCCTCTCAGCCCTGAATGCGGACCATGGGTCTCTCTCCCTGAGGCCAAGGGATTGCCCCTGATCCCTGTGTACAGGAGGGAAGAGGGGCGACACTGTACCTCCCTCCCCAGGCCACACACACACACACACACACACACACACACACACACACACGTGAGGTGGCTGAAGCCCGGGAGGGCAGATGGCCTCCACGCTGAGGCTCAGACCTCAGTCAGCTTCCCACATCCGGTCCTGTTCTAGGGGGCAGGCCTTCTGATAGGGCTGGCACCCTCTTGTGCACCCCCTTCCAAGCCGCACAGCTGTATGGGAAACTCAGTTCAGTTGAGAAACTCAGGTCTGCAACGAAACCCCACAGGGTATCATCAGAGGGTCCCCTCCTGTCCGTTTCAGTGACGTTGCCCTGCGCCTGAGCGTGGGTGAACGGAACTGGCCTTGGTCACTACTGTCCCTCCACTTCCTGCTCTCGCCCAGGCGGGAGCATGCTTATCAGTATGGCTGGGGCTCTGGAGATTGTCATGGTTCCAACAGAGGGTCACTCCCCCTCTGGGCTTGCATTTTGTCATCTTTAAAATGTGGCAACAGCCCTATCTGGTTTGGTTCTGGTCAAGGGCACATGCCTGGGTTGCAGGTTCGATCTCCAGTAGGGACGTGAGGATTTGCTAAGGGTCACAATCTGGTTTTTGCCCCCACCTTGGAAGCCCTGAACAGGTGTTTTATTTTTTATAAAATGCCAGTCATGAGCTAGTAAATGGATTTTTACAATCACTGCTGGGCTCTGGCCCTCACTGGGACCGTACTTCCCTTCTCTGAACTGAACTAGTGTAGGCGTTTCCCATTGCTGCTGTGGTAATTGCTAAACAGGTGGCTGTAAACAATACGTTACAGTTGTGGCCAGGGGTCCACAACCAGTCTCCGTGGGCAGGTGGCATTCCTCCTGGAGGCCACGGGAGAACTCGTTCCCTTGTCTTTCTCAGCTTATGGAGGCTTCCCGCATTCCATGGATCTGTGGTCTCCTGACACTCCAACCTACCGTTCCATCATCACACACCCTCCTGCCTCCCTCCTATAAAGATCCTTGTGATAATGTTGGTTCCTCCTGGATCACCCAATATCTTCTCCCCATCACATCTTTAAGTTAACCCCATCAGAAAAGTTCACAGGTTTGGGGGATTAGGGCATGGACATCTTTGGAGTGGGGGGGGGATTAGTCTATCTACCACATTTTGATAAATTACAATACCTGGAATAACATAGTTTATAATTCCTATTTTGATCTGTGCTACCTATTCCACATTGGGGCAGCTGCCTTGGTTACACTGCACGCACCTGGGGGACCCTGGGCCTTCACATCATTGCCTCCAGAGTTGGACACACAGGGAAAGTAAACTACTGTTGATGACTTGGGCCAGACTGAAGAGTTATGCTTCAGTAATTCATCTGCATTCTGAGGCTGACTCCGATTTTCTAATTCTATTCTGGAAAGAAATACTGAAAAAAAAAATTTTTTTTTTTTGGTTAGCAAAAGCCTTCATACATTGTTTCCTACTCTGTGCTACTATATGGCCAGAGTTAAGCCTGAAAGCAAACCCCACCTTTACTGTCTAATAGAATTACTAATACTGCATTACCATCTTACCAGTAGGGAGACTGAGGTTCAGGTATGTTAACTATTGCTCAAGGTTACACAGCGTGGCAGAACTTTGACACCAAAGCCCAAAGCTTCAAAGGGCTTTGGTGATCACTTGCTCCCCTCCAGATGGGCAGGCATGTGGCCCCAAGCCTGGCTTGTTCTCGAAGGCAGGGTGAGAGGAGGAGCTTCCAGGCTCCCGGCCCGCACTGCCGCACAGCACAAAGGGTTTCTGTTGCCAGACTTGGGATGGGTGGTCTTCCAGGGTGAGAAATGGCCAAAGTTACAAAAAAGAAAAAACTACTCTGTGGCTATTAAGTTCTTGGTGGCGAAGTTCACAAATTTTGTTTTTTGTTGCTTTTGTTTCTTTCATGCAACCCATTGTTTCTTTAAAGACCTCTGGGCTCACTAGCCAAGTCATGTGCTTTAATGAGCTAATTCGTAATTTTTGGCTGCTTTTGTCTTTCCTCTGTCTGTGACAACAACCTTGCTGATACGCTGGTGCAAACACACATACGCAAAGGAGCCCTGCCAGCAGGTCCGGAGAGAACACGGCAGCCAACAGGGAAGGGGCAGGCTTCCCGACCCCGACCTGGCACCCGGGTGCGTGTGGGTCCTCTCCTGGAGGGAAGCATGCTCCCATGAGTCACCAAACGGGCAGAGTGACTCTTCTGAGACAATCACGACGTCCTCTGAGAAGCGCTGTTACCCAGGTCCTAAAACTAAAGTTGTGTTTGAATCCCTGCTCTACTTCTCCTGGGCCAGTGGCTACACTCAAGGCTACTCTATATTTATTTACTTAGTTATTCATTTATATTTACACCTTGGAATGTCAAACTTCATGTCTAATTATGATGAAAATAACTTAGCTTGGGCACAATAACCACTAAACCAAAATGATAACATGTCCTTTTCTCTTTCACACTCATTCCCTCCTGGGCAGCACACTGTTACAGCAATTGCTCCTGCTGTTGGCACGGGGCCCAGGGCCCAGACCTTGGCTCTCAGAGCAGCTCCCATTTGGGCGCGGCTGCTTAATGGTGGTGGACATCTCTGCAATATGGGAACAATTCACCTACTTTGCAAATGCACTGCAATGTTAAAAGTGGTTCTTTTGGTTGAAGAAAAACCATTTGTATTCACTTTAAGAAACGAATCATCTAAGATTTTACCTTAAAAACTAGTCTAGTCTAAAGAAGAAGTGATTAAGTCTTTCAATGAAACATGGAAATATTATTAGGAAACAGAACCAAAAACATATTCAGTATTTTTATTTAAATTTTTAGCAACTTGCATACCTCTCCACCCTTTCTTTTAAGTTAGTGTGACAATTTCCATAATAAACTACTAAAAGAGAAGCTTTGGTCAAAGATGGAATGAAATAGCAAAAACAAAAACCAAAAAACAAACAAACAAACAAAAACCAAAATACAAACAAAACCCAATCACTGCTGCTTTTAAAAATCCAACACTTTCACCAATTATATTCAAACAAAACCACACAGACATCATTTGCGCGATACGTGTCTTCAGTGTTTCCTTGCGGCTGGCTCTCCTCACCATCATGCAAATGGTGGAGCTGCCGGGCAGTTTGTCAGTTTGTCAGTTTGTCATGCTGGACTGGGAGGCTCACTCAGCTTCACATTATCCGGAGGCCCTGGATGGAGGACTCTAAGGTCTTGAAAGTGGAAGGAAGAACACTGATGGTTACTGAGGACTGTATATGCTGCCTTTCCCCCACGGCCTTACTGCTCCCCTTCCTCTCCCGGCTGAGGTGCAGGCCCTGTCTCCCTGTACCGAGACACGCTCTCCCAGGACTCTGCCCAGTCTCCAGGGCTGCTGCCCTTCCAGGCCGGCGTTCCCCTGTCTCCTCTACCCCAGCCCTCAGGTCTGGGCACACTCCTCTGTGGTCCTGGACACGTGCCTCCTTTCTGATGACGGCCACCTGTGCACACGTCCCTCGCCTCTTCCCCACTCTAGATGCCTAAGGCAGTGCTTCCACGTTTCTGCAGCCGCACAGCGTCAGCCTGCTGCACCACAGCGGGTGCTCACAGTGGCTGGACTGAAGAGAAAACTGCACTGGCACTTGGTAGCTCACACAAGTGCAAAAAGAGAGAAAAAGATATGGCCTGAGAGATCAAAGGATAAAGGGCATGACTGTAACCAGCCGGGTGGTGCTAACTACAGATGCCCAGGACTTACAGCATATGAAGATTAAAAAAAAGGGTGGGGAGGATACTTTTATTATTATTATTATTTATTTAAAAAATATATTTCTTTATTGATTTCAGAGAGGGACAGGGAGAGAGAGATAGAAGCATCAATGATGAGAATCACTGATCAGCTGCCTCCTGCACACCCCCTACTGGGGATCAAGCCCGCTACCCAGGCATGTGCCCTTGACCGGAATAGAACCTGGGATCCTTCAGTCCGCAGGCCAACGCTCTATCCACTGAGCCAAACCAGTGAGGGCGGGGGAGGATACTTTTAGAGAAAGATGTTTTGTTTCTTCAGAATATTCTGGAGGCTTTACCATACTATGTATTTGACCCAAGGAGAGGAAAAAACATCATGGAAATGTACAACGGCAAAATTCGATAAAGCTGGAGTATACAGAGTCCTTAAGACTTGTCACTACCCCTTCCATCAGGCCTCCTAAATCGCTCTCTGTCCAGAGCCTCCTGGCCACAACCCCTGCCACAGCTGGAGTCCATGTCCTCATCACTTGTTCCCTGGACTCGGCAGCCTCTGCCCAAGCTCTCGTTGCCTAGGCCACCCACGCCTTACAGCCTGGTGCGTTTCTACCTCGGTTCTGGAAGAGCTTTTAGTTGTCTGTAGACAAAGCCTAGCTTCCTCTCCCTGACCATGCCAAGCTCTTTTCTCCAGTTCCATCTTCTGCGTCTGTAGGCCTCCCACCGCAGTCCACACCCTGGCAGTGCCTTGATATAGTGTGCACCCCTTTACCCCCAACCATTCCTGAAATCCCACTGCATCTAGGGGTGCAGCTCTTCCCTGCAGTGCTGGCAGTCCATGCGACCCTAAATTCCTCAACGTAAAAACGCACTGGCTTCTCTCCTGAAGCTCCGATAATCCCGACCCTCCGCCCTCTCCCACCACACAAGCACCCCAGGGGCTCCTTCATCTCAGTACCCTCAGCACCCAGCACCATGCCTGGCACCCAGAGGACACTTAGTGAATGTTTATTAGACTAATTAGGGTAAACCATACAAATATATCTATGTAGCTAAATTTAGAAGGGTACTCAACATAGGCCTGCTACAGAAACAGCACTCAACTTTTCCTCAATGAATAGATGGACATCTAGAAAGAAGTATATATTCCAAATCACTGGGAAAGTGTCGTTTCCTACTAATGACCTTTAGGTTTTAAAGACAACTTCAGTGTAATATCTTACATTTCTGATCTGCACTGGCTTTGATATTTTGTTTCAAACAATGAGAAACATTTTCCTCATAGGAAGTTTTAACACAAACAGGATTTGTTCTGAAAGGAAGAAAATACCTTGAAATCCCAAATTGTCATGGCTCCATCGATGCCAGTAGTGCAAAATTTGCGACAATCTTGCTTGTCCACCTCATAAATAGATACTTGACTGAAAAAAAAGCAAAAACAAGAGATTGTAAGCTATGTGGTAGAAGTGAGCCCCAATCCTCCTAATAGTATAAGGGCATTTCAAGGATAACTCCTGAATATCAAGTTGTCTATTAATATTAGGCTGCAGCAATCTGACTTAGAAAATATGAAAATGCACCATATTCCCAGATGGCCAGAAGAGGAAAGACTGATATGAGGGAAAGAGGAAAGACCCACATTAATTAATGATGTGGAGAAACAAGACAATCCAGGCCACACAACATTCAAACTGCCCAGTAGCAGAGTGTGGCCAGGACCACAGCCATGATTGAAATAGAAATCAATTCAAACAAATAAACAAACAAACAAACAAACAAAGGCAGGATGAAAACTGAAATCCAATCAAAACAAAAAAATCCCTGCTGAAACCGGTTTGGCTCAGTGGATAGTGTCAGCCTGCAGACTGAAGAGTCCCAGATTCGATCCCGTCACAACCTTAATTGTGAGCACATTCCCAGTAGGGGTATACAAGAGGCAGCTGATCGATGTTTCTAACTATCTCTCTCCCTTCCTCTCTGTAAAAAAATCAATAAAATATATTAACAAACAAACAAAAACAAAAAAATCCCTGATGATCTCTGACAACCAGGGCATGTAAACCAAGAGCTCTCCTTCGTTTAAAATTAATCATTATAAATGTCAGCAACAGTCAGACACACCACAAAATCCCAACCATGCAAAACAGAGGAACACAAATGAAACAACTTGTCTCAGCCTAATTATCTGAAAAACTTCCAATAAAATCAATTCAGTAGCTCAGACAATATTTTCCTTTCTCCTCTGAAATGACTAAAATATTACCTCTAGGGAATGGTGCATACTACCAGTGAGCTGAGAATGAATTTTACGATTTTAAATGGTTGGAAAAAAACCCCAAACTATTATTTCATGACATGTGAAAATCCTGTGAAATTAAAAGTCCAGTGTCCGTGACGTTTTCCTGAAACACAGCTCTGCTCACTTATTTACGCACTGCCCGTGGCAGCTTTTGTCCCACAACAGGAGAGCTGAGTAGTTGTGACAGACACCATAGAGCCCCTAAGAGTCTAAAATATATACTATCTAATCCTTTAAAGAAAAAGTTTGCTTAATATCTGCAAATAAAAGTAATAAACATGTCAATCTGCAAGGGTCTGTCATTTTTTTTTTTTTTTTTAGCTTCTGATACAGTCTGCAGAGAAGCTTAAGAAAAATTCACAAGAAATAACTTCAAAAGTCATTCAAGACAGAGAAACTTGAAAAGTGTAAAGAAAGTTTTGCTATGCCTTCAAGTTACACTTTTCAATAGAGCACAAAATTTTTCAGCCTATTTTAAGCCCAGTGGTTCCTTTCACTCAACATGATGAAAAGCACAACTTAGCCCTGGCCGGTGTGGCTCAATGGGTTGGGCTGTACTGTTTGTCCACACCAGCTCACAATCCACAGCAGGATCTGTATCCTCATGTGAGATGCTTTGTACCATCTACATCTTGAAGGACAGGATGACGAGGCGGGTATAGCTCACTTTTAGGCCCTGGCTACAGGCAGCATCCAGGAACTCAGATCCAGTGCAGGGCCCCCAGGTGGCTGGGTGGCACTTACGTGATACTATTCTGGTGCAGAGTCTCCAAGGCTGTATTGCGGTCCTCAGTTGTGGCCCTCTTGTCCATGTTGCGGAAGCGTTCCATGGCAGACATGTTGCGCTGGATGCTCTGTTTTGGAATGTCTAGCTTGGAGACGAAAGTCAAGCAGCCGCGGTCATCATAGTTAAAGAGCATTGGGCAGCAGTCATGGCCCTGAAACAAAACATCAGTCAGGCCTGGAGGGTACACTGTCTACCTACCAACCACTCAGAGAATGCTCACCACCACAGGTGCCTCTTATTCCTAAAGGCTAGCTCTGTTTCTTTTTAAAAATATATATATATTTATTGATTTTTTTTATAGAGAGGAAGGGCGAGGGATAGAGAGTTAGAAACATCTGTGAGAAAGAAACATCAATCAGCTGCCTCCTGCACACTCCCACTGGGTACGTGTCCACAAACAAGGTACATGTCCTTGACCTGAATTGAACATGGGACCCTGGAGTCCACAGGCTGACGCTCTAGCCACTGAGCCAAACTGGTTAGGGCTGGCTCTGTTTCTTTTAAAAGGCTGTTCTACTTGGTGCTAATGCACAAAGTCACAGAGCACACATTGCTCCTGTTCTGGAGAATTACAAACAGTGTATTACAAGGAAAGATGAAGAGAAATACTTACAGCTGCTACAACGCTATTCTCCGAGACAAATGACACACTCAGGAGGGGCAGGAACTCTGTTTTCAAAGTGGAGACCCTGAACACAAGAACACTTGTTAAAAGGAGATACAAGGAACCATTCAGGTTCTTTATGGATACACAAGATGACAAAGGACCCATTCTCACAGGGGCCTTGGCAGTATAAACAACCACTCATTTAAAAGGCGCCCCATGACCTAGCCTTTCAGGAATCCCAAGCATGAAATGGCCCTGAGATAACCTGAGACACTGAGGCCTTCTGCTCTCTTTAGCCTATGCTCTACTCCCCTCTGAGTCTACCTACCCCACTCCCTCTCCAACTCATGACAAACTGGTCTACAGCTTGGTCCCCAAAAAGCCCTGTTCTTTCCCATCTCTGCCTTTGCTCCCACACCCCTTTACCACATGCTCTCTCTGCTCCTCCTGTTTATCCAAAGTCCACCATGTTTGAAGCTCAGCTCTGACTTGATCACCTCCATGAAGCTTTCCTGGAGCACATCAGCCTAAAGTGGCTTCCCCTTTCTCTGATCTCCTAAAGTTCTTAGTGTCACTCACGATTGCTATTTTCTCCTTGCTTGTTCTCACTAGGGGCTCCTAGAGGCTGGGACCACTAACCTATTCTCTTTCCTCCACCTGGGTTAGGAGCTAGGGCTACTGTAAGAATCTATAAATATGTATAGAAATCTTCCAGAAGACTATATCATTTATATTAGGGAAGGACATTAAAAACCCCCATAAAGTTTAAGAATACAATTCAACCCAGTAGGAAAAATATCCTTTCTGAAATACCAATTTGTTGTCACTGATGTGACCGACTGCCAGCCTACAGATTAGGTCAGGAAACCTTTAAAGGTGGGTTACCTCTGGCTGCCAATGGGAAGGGATGCACTAGGAAAGGATATTCTTCCTCTAACATAAGAACAAATATGAATTCTGATGTCTAACAAGATGCCTAATGTTCTCTTTAAGGCTGAGCAGGCAAAAATGAGTCATTGTGATTTGAATTCTTCCAGCATACACCAAAGGAACTGGCTTCAAGGTTTTAATATTACTGAATGAAGTCCCAAATTAATGGAGTCATTGTTCACTGATTACACAGAGCAAGAATTCATCCTCTATTTAATTTAAGGCTGGTGTGTGGCATTTACATGTAAGGAATTCGTAGTAACAGACTAAACTGGCTATTTGAAGGAACTCTTATCAGTAGTAAACCAGGAAGGTTCTTTAAAGGAATCACTATCAGCACTTATATTAAGAAGTGTTTCTGGAAGTGAAACTCTTTAAATTTTAACTCTTTAAAATTTCCCCAAGTGGACAATCTAAATGTGAGCCTCTGACTTTAAAGGCTGCCTTGCAGATCTCAGGTAGATTTTTATGCTTACGTCCTACATAAGCACCCAGAGAAGGGCAGCCTTAGCCAGCTGATGAGAAGTCCCACCCCACGTCTTAACTCAAAACAAAAGGCAAATACTCACTGCACGCTTTTTGAGGCATCGGCAACGGACACAGTGCTGTCATGGCTGACCCAGGCCAGTCGACTCCCGCTGGCGGAGAAGCTGACGCCATGCACCCAGCCACCAGTACCACTGCCACCAAACTCGGACATCAGCTGACCAAAAGGCATCTTACTGCCCCAGGGTGTACTGGCTGGCTTTTCATCCACTTCTTTAATGTATGCAGAAAACACTCTGCAGTTTAAGGGGCAGGGGGAGAAGGAAAAAGTAAATGATTATACACACACACACACACACACACACACACACTAGAGGCCCGGTGTACGAATTCATCTACTGGTGGGGTCCCTCAGCCTGGCCTGCTCCCCCTTGCAATCCAGGACCCCTTGGGGATGTAGTAGTGGGGCCAGGTGCTGTGCCACTCCCGCTCATCCCAGCCCCACTGTGCCCGCCTGGTCGCTGGGTATCATGTTGTCATGGAGATGGGAGAAGCTCGCGCAGCTGTAGCTGCACTTGCCAGCTGTGAGCTCAGCGTCTGGTGCCTTTCAGTCAGCTGAGTGGCGCTCGTGCTGTGGGAGTGCACTGACCATCAGGGGGCAGCTCCTGTGTTTAGTGTCTTCCCCTTGCTGGTCAGTGTGCTTCATAGCAACCGATCAACCAGTCAGTCACGTAGGCTTTTTTATATATATATATATATATATATATATATATATATATATATATATATATATACACACACACACACACACACACACACACACACACACAGAAATAGGCTACAGGCTGCTGCTACAAGGTGTCTCAGAATTCAGAGTAAAATATGATGGGACAAATTAACATGCAGAAACCTCTTGAGACACAGAATGGTTCTAGGCTGCATACAGGTCAATCCGTACTCAATCAACTAATAATCACAGATTGCTGCTCTAGGAGTGCCATTCTAGAAATAATGAACCCAAAAGCTCTTCCCTCCTGAGGTGTACATTCTGGGGGAGGATTGTGCTGTCCCACCCTCCCTTGCCCATGGGAGGTATGGCTAAATGAGCACAGCATTGTTTCTTGTCTACTTTACCCTCGTTCTCAGCACAGTATTCCAAGAAGCCCACATAGTCAAATGGTAGGAGAAAGGAAATTATGTCCCTAGCATGAACTCACTTAAGAAAGGGACATCTAAAGTGAAAGCTGAGGGAGCCGTGGGAAGAGCAGGCGGCTTTCCCTAGCACTGTCAGGCAGAGGGCTGTGCTCGCTGTACCCTCAGGCCCACTGTCCAGCCTTTGTGGCAGGTATCGTCCGGGATGAAGGTGGATCCTTTATAGCCTGCTATCATCAGTCTCTTTCTCTAATTCCTTAAGGTGGGTAGCAAAAGGGATAAAGAACAGCTGGGAATCTATCCTTTCATTTCCTTTTGCCCTCCAATGCTGTACCTACTTTGTAAAGTCTCTCTTCAAAAACTCCTGAACCTAAAGACTCCCTAAATGACCTAGAATATTTCCCTCCAAAATGACAGTCGTGGTAGCAGCTCTGGAAGAGTCAGGGCACTGGAGAGGGAAGGGCACAGTGAGCTGTCTTGTTAGATGATGTGACCTTAGCATCACTGTGCTTTAAATCAGCGTCACAGTGGCTACTGCTTTAATCATCTGAGTCCAGGAAAGAATGGGTGGTTCTCAGCTGCGCCAACTGCAGTGTGGGAACAGAACAGATCCATACCCAAAGGAGCGCAAGCCAAAGCAAAGTTTATTTCTAGAAATGATTATTAACAAAAACATTGTAAGCTAATTTCACATCAGATTTTTAGTATAGCCTGATGATCCAGGTGGTATGATCACTTAGCTCCACCTTCTAAGAGAGCTAAAATGACTCTGGGTAACATCACAAAAATAAAACTAAGTATGAAAAATTCTAGAGAATATCTATGTATTTTTACTCTTACATTGGTTCTTAAGTACAAGAACCAATATTTTTCCAAAAAGTACCTTGACACTGCTGAATCCCCCTTTAATAGGCAAACTGTTTATATATATTTAGTAGTAAGAAAAAATATATATATTTAGTAGTAAAAAAGAAATAAAAAGACCCCCAACAACAAACAAAAACACCCTTGGTATTCTTAAAAACAAACAAACCACTCACCATGTTTTTATTGATTTCAGAAAGGAAGGGAGAGGGAGAGAGAGAATAATATCAATGATGAGCGAGAATCATTGATCAGCATGTCCCACACTAGGGATCGAGCTCACAAGCCGGGCATGTGCCCTGACCAGGAATTGAACCGTGACCTCCTGGTGCATAGGTCGACATTCAAACACTGAGCCACACCAGCCGGGCCCCCTTGGGTATTCTTGGATATAAATCACTAGTTAGGTTTTCTGGAAATTCTCCACATACCCTCTTAAAAAAAGATGCATCCCATCTCCCAATCCACCACATAGTCAACATAAAGCAACATTTGTTTGCTTTCCTTCTGGCTATTGGGGAAAAAAGCCTGTTGATAAAGAACAACTTTAAAAAAAGCAATTTCTGCCGAAACCGGTTTGGCTCAGTAGATAGAGCGTCAGCCTGCAAACTGAAAGGTCCAGGGTTCGATTCTGGTCAAGGGCATGTACCTTGGTTGCGGGCACATCCCCAATAGGGGGTGTGCAAGAAGCAGCTGATCAAAGATTCTCTTTCATCGATGTTTCTAACTCTCTCTAAAAAATCAATAAAAATATATTAAAAAAAAAAAAAAAAGCAATTACTGATACATTCCTTAAAGGAATTAGCTAAGTAGCTGTGTTTCTTCTAGCCTCATACTAATAACAAAAAGCTTTCACTGAAAAGAAATAGCACAACAATAGCTCAGCAGTACACTGTTCAGCTGTTTTGTTGATCTTCGTTCACTCTGGAATTTGCAGTCTGCTGCTTGGGTAGTTGAGGGAGGGGAAGAGGAGAACACTTCCCCCATTCCGAACCATGGGTGTTCTGCTTAAGGAAAACTTCCCTATCCCCACCCTTTCATCTTCCTTCTCCCATACTTCCAAGTCCACTTCTTTCTACTTTGTTGATTTATGCACTTGCTTTTTAGTCCCTTTTCTAGACCACAAGCTCCTTTCATCGGAATCCCTTATGGTACCTAGCATAGTACCTTACAAAAAGGGACCTTAAAAATAAAAAATCAATAAAATATATTTTAGAAATAAAAAAATTTGTCGAAAGATGACTGATGAACAACAATTTAAGTCTGTCTACCAATTCCCACCTGCATTTGAAATCACATGATCCTGCTGCCAGCAAAACATTGTTGGGATGCCAATCCAAGCTGAGGACCGTGGAGCGAATTGGCTTTTTAATGTGCTTGCTTACCCACCTACAAAAGGAGAAAAACTATTTTAGTTTATCCATAAACCAAATGACTTACAAATATGTCAGGTGAAAACACCAATGCATGGTTCTTACGTGGTGGCTACCAGGTTTCCTGCCAGAGAGAGGGTACATTTCTAAAGGAAGAGAGGAAGAGAAAAAGAACCACAGATTGTCCTTCCCGTTTTCCTGTCTTAGGTTTTGACATTCTTCTCAGGGCAATTGGTTCTGAACTTTTCGGGCTACCAGGGGATCCTCTGTAGTAAGTTATTTATGGATGAACTCTGGTAGTGCCCCATGGAGTTTCAGATTATGTCTGACTTTAACCTTTGAAATAAAAATGAAGGTTTGAAATTACTTGAATTTTTATTATAAATATTCAGTGATTTGTTATTTCATTTTAGGTTAAGTTTGGGTTGTAAGATAACTTCATTTCCCTTCAAAGTTTCCAATGCTAAGTAAGTTTCCTGAAGCTTCAAATTTTTTAAAACTTTTTTTCAGTGAAAATTTAATCATGAAATCAGCAGAACCTCTTATTGGAGATTAGACTCTAATTCTCTAGCTTCACTTAAAGAGTTTATTTATGTCTTAAATCAGTCATAATTCTGGCATAATTTCTGCCCTTGAACTGCTGCTTAAAAACCGATCATGCTCTGTTTAACATGAGAGGCTGGATATTGTGCCAAATGTTGAAAACAAATTGTTTTTCTATACAACCTTTTTCTTAGGAACCTATCTGAAAAATTTCATTCTGAAAAATCAGACAATATTCTACTTGTTTGATATAGTTATTTTAAATTAGAGGCTTAAAGGTTGTTTTAAAGTACTCATATCATACCAATAAAATATTGTTTTATAGCTGAGAAACCCCTGAACATACAGCTTGTTCACATGACACTTTGTACTACAGTAAAGCCCAATTTACCTATATCTGAGACTATTTTTTAATGACTAAAAATGTGAACAAACAATCTGACATCGAGGGATACCTAGAAAGAAAAATTGTTTCTTACACATGTATTTTAGTGAGCTTTCTAAATGTTTTATAGCAGGCAACATTTTGTTAGCCTTAATTTTACACGTTTGAAGGAAAAATGCATGTCTAAATGCATAATTCAATCTTGCTGCAAATTCATACTTTCTTTTTAAAGAATCAAAATTTCTGAGGTTTTACTAGAGTACAAAGTGTAATATGATAATCCCTTTCAGCAGAAAGCAAACAGTAGGAACACTAACCCAAAGAGTAATGTGTACTCTGCTATTTGTAGTGCAAATACACACTGCCAGTTCCCTACTAAATGACAATTCCAAGTCAAAGAGTAGTTATTCCCTCCTGAATACATGTCAGGTGGAGCAGAGTTGTTTTCTTATCAAAATAAGAAGGAAGAAATAGTTAAAGTAAATTATTTAGCCATAAAATAAACCTCTGCATTTTGACTGGCTTAGCAACAAGTGATTTATAAAAAAAGTACAACAGGCTGATTATATATCCAAGATCAGACCAATTTTTACTTCACTGGCTTAAACAAGTAAAGCATTATACCAAGGCATAATTTGGTTAGCAAATAAACTTTAAAGAAAGGAGAACATTGTTATCTGTAGGAATCCTAGAAATTTAAGTGGATAGAGATAAGAGGGGAAAAAATTATTTCCCAGGACACTGGGAATCTTTCAAGTTTATAATTTATATATCAGAGTAAGAAAACAGCTATTTGGATAGTACAGAGTCAGAGTAGTAATAGCTTTTAGAACAAACAGGTTAGGAGATCAGGACATGGAAACCACAGCTCTAGATTAATGTGAGAAAGATGTGAGATTTGACTCAATGTGCACATAGGAATGAAAAAAGTGGAATCAGAGAATGGGAAATTCAGAGGAAAAAAAAACCTTCAGATGAAGAAAAACTGAAGCAATAGTTAAGCCTTAACCTAGTTCTCAAGAAGTCACCAAGAATATAGTGCTTCAAACGTATGATTCTATAGAAAGAAGTAAAAAAAACCTCAGATGTTGCTCACCAGTCATTTTCAGATTCAAAGTAACAAACAGAAATGAGTCTTGCTCCGCTTCCCACAGCAAACTTGTTCTCTAGTGGGGACCACTTGACAAAAGTGGCGGCACGGTTAATTCTCAGGATCACCAGGGTTGGCTTCCAGACACCATCCTTCTGACTCCAGACATAGGCGTTGCGGTCTGCCCCGCAGGTGACGATGCGGTCGCTCTTGGGAGCCCAGTCGATACCTGCAAGTGAGACATGGCATCATCTCCTTTGCTTACGCCAATGACAACTGACATGGCACAGGCCGGTGGCCATTGGTATGGAGGGGACAGATGTAGTCCGGATCACCACATCACAAAGGAAAGGATGTTTCTCCACAAAGTTCTGTAACTCGGGATCCTCCATGAGGCCAGCTAGAACAGTGCTGTTTTAATAATTGCAAAGGGTACAAAACTAAGCAGGAACATTCTTTCCACCCATTCACAGGTTTCTAAAGATATCCCTCTTAAGATTTTTTTTTGCCTGAAAAATATTTATTTTTTATTTGTTTTTATTGTTGTTAATCCTCACCTGAGGATATTTGCCCCCAACCCCGTATAAATTTTTAAAGAGTGGAAGGGAAGGGGAGAGACAGTGTCCTTATCTTTTGGAGACACAAATTGAAATGTGACATGATACAATGTCTGGGATGAGCTTCAAAATAGTACAGGAAGAGAGTTGAGAACAAGACAGGCTGTGTGTTGATAACAGTTGAATCTGGGTGAAGAGTATACAAGGTACTCATTACACTATTATCTTTTTTTGTTATCTGTTTAAAACTGTCCATTGTAAAATGTCTTTTGTGTGTGTTTTAAAAGATAGCAATTAAACATTTAACACAAAAGAATAAACTCACAGAAAAAAAAACACACCAGGACTCTGATATCCCTTTGTTGTTTGCTATACTCTTTTTCTGCAGCACTGACTAGTCTTTCTAGAAAACTTCAGAAGATGAATTTTATTTTTCTGTAGTTACTATCTTCTGAGAAAATATGCTTGATCCTTGGCCACAGAGTTATACTTAGATTTTTCAACAACAGTTTTTTAAGACTTAAAAAAAAAATAATTTGAGCATTTGGACAGAAAACAGGCCCAAGTTCAAAGGATTCTAAAAAAGAATCAGGGGAGAAAAAGGACACAACTAAATATTTCACTTTTTTGGCTATCTCTCTGGTCTTTCATCTTAGCCCTTTCCCATGTAAAAGTATTTCCTAAGGCAAAATTTCCAATTTAAAATTTTTGAATATTATTTTTAGGCCATAAGGCCACTGGCAAAGGGACTTAGAGTAAATAGGTCAAACCTAATAGAAGTAACACTGTGTGAAAGCAATAGCAACAAAAATAGAAATTATGTCTTTGGTGCTTGTTCGGTAATATGTAGTCAGTCAGATCAGGGTACTCACTAGCATTATATACAAATCCTGATAAAAGCAAAAGGGATGCTCACAAGTTTTTGCTGAGGAATACAATGTAAAGGTGCAGAAGATCAAAACACGTTATGTTTTTCTCTGATTTGGGGGAAGGAGATCTTTAAGCTAATCAGTATGTGAGGGGATTAGAAGCAAAATGTCAGAGTCCGAATTTAATAGAAAGTCACCATCAGTCCCTTGGCTGCCCACTTAAGTGCAAATACAACTGAGAGGAGAGGAAATCCAAGACTGCAGTGAGAAATTTTTAAATGAAAAGTTATGAAGAATAAATTGAAAAAAAATATTTTTATTAATTTCAGAGAAGAAGGGAGAGGGAGATATGGAAATATCAATGATGAGAATCATTGATCAGTTGCCTCCTGTATGCCCCACAGTGGGTATGGGAAAATAAGCACTCTCACACAAGGCTGATGGGATGAAGGCTATCTGATGATACCTAGCAAAATTAAAAATGTATCTATTCCTGTGATACAACAAATCTACCATATGTGAATATCACACATGTACAAAGAGATCTGCACACGCATGCTTGATTTAGCACAATGTAATAAGGAAAAACAGGCAACATAAATGTTCTTTGATGGAGGGAAAGAGTAAATAAATGGGTATGAAATGCCAAACAGCCATTAAAAGGAACAAACTTGACTTAGATACACTAACATAGAACTCAGAAACAATGTGGAATGCAAAAGCAAGCCGCAAGAGATGTATGATATGATGCCATTTTGGCAGCCTCTGAAAAATACTAACCAACAGTACTAGAGATTGCTTATGAATATATATACGTATATAAAAGTGTTAAATATGGACTAGGACAACGTCATACTAAATTACAGACTGCCTTCTGAGGGACAGGAACAGAACTGGTGGTGAGAGGAGACTTTACCATTATCTAGAATAATATTCCTTGTTATTAAATATTTGATTCCTAAGCTTTCTGGCACAGGAAAAAAAGACATTTATCTTTCTTGCTGTTAACTCTGGGAGGTAGATATATGGGTTTATTACTCTTTGTCTTTTTCAGTATTTGGAATGTCTTCCTTGCCCCCAGAACAATATGCAGGAAATGTCTGGAAGACACAGAGCTCCCGCAGCAGTTGGAAATTCAGTTTGGCTTACATTTTCACACAGCTGACATACTGTCTGGTTTTCACTTTCACGGCTCATCTCCTGATCTAAGCTCCTTAGTCCTCATAGTAGGTTCAGTTTTCCATAACACTAGTTTCCAGTACACTAGTGTGTGTACCAACTAAGCTAAAACAAGCACTTAATAATTGAGATCAGTGTGGCTCAGTTGGTTGGAGCATCGTCCTGTATTCTGAAAGGTGGTGGGTTCAATTCCTGGGCAGGACACGTATCCAGGTTGCAGGTTGGATTCCTAGTCAGGGCACATATGGATACTTCTCTCTTGCATTGATTTTTCTCTCTTTCTCTCCCTTCCTCTCTCTAAAAATATATATATATATATATATATATATGATCACTATTATGCTATATTCTGAAAATTTCTAAAGAAAACTCAGTAAATACAACTTTAAATATTATGGCTGACTTACTTTATTAGACTCCTTATTTGAAGGAAAGAGTGCTAAATTTGAAAATATTATATTAAATTCATGGTTATCTTCTTTTACCTGTGATGTGTCCATTGTGCTCCTTGAGTTCATGAGCTTTCACCCACTGGCTCCCGTTCTTTTTATAGATGTGGACTTCATGATTATTGGGGCTAAGGGCAATCTCTGGAGAAAAAAGTCAATAGTTAACATTTGAACTTGAAACTGTCACACAAAAAAGAGATATGTTACAGTTAGGATTTAAAAAGTAGAGGGAAGCCTGACCAGGATGCATTGACCTATGAACCAGGAGGTCTCAGTTCAATTCCCAGTCAGAGCACATTCTTGGGTTTTGGGCTCAATCCCCAATTGGGGACATGCAGGAGGTAGCCAATCAATGATTCTCTCTCATCATTGATGTTTCTATCTCTTTCCCTCTCCCTTTCTCTCTGAAATCAATAAAAATATATATATATATATATATATATATATATATAAAAAGAAAAACTAAACTTAAACATTCACTGTATCAGAGACATATACAACTATCAAAAATTCTAACCAATAAGAAATAAATGATGTTGCTATATGTCCACATAAAAACTTGTATATGAATGTTCCTAGCAGCAATAGTCACAACAGCCAAAAAGTGGAAACAAATAAATTAAATAAGGTATTGTATGTCTATACAATATAAAAAGGAATGAAGCTAATAAGTGCTTCAAAATGGATAAACCTTAAGAACATTGTGCTCAGTGAAAGAAGCCAAATGTAAAAACCCACAAATTGTATGATTTCACTTATAAAAAATATCCAGAATAGGCAAATCCATGGAGACAGAAAGTAGATTAGTAGTTGCTTACAACTGGAAGTTTTGAGGAAAACTGGAAGTACTGCAAATGGGTATAGAGCTTCTTTTTGGAGTGATGAAAATATTCTAAAATTATATAGTGATGACTGTTGCATAACTCTGTAAATATACTAAAATCACTAAATTGTATACTTTAAAAGGATGAATTTTATGTTATGTGAACTCTATCTTAATAAAGCTATTATTTTTTAAAAAGAGTGAATATAATTCAATTTTTAAAATAACGCATGGGCCTAACACTACACTCTGTTTCTAGGTTTGTTTGTTTTCGTTCATTCTCTTTGTCATATTACCTGTCACTCTGCTTGCTATACTATCCCTACTTCTAAGAGTCTTCTCCATGCCTTTCTAGTTTGCTGGGGCTAGAAAACTAGAAACTCAAGCTTGTTTTGAATAATACTAGAGGCCCTGTGCATGAATTCATACATGGGTGGGGTCCAGCCAGCCTGCCCCGATGGGGCCATAGGGGGGAGGGGATGCGGGAGGTTGGCCAGCTGGTCCCACCTCCAATCAGGGTTGGGTGGGCCGATTGGGGGTGGTGCTGGCCAGGGGTAGGGGCTGCGGGGTTGAAAGGGGGCTAACTGGGGCCCCACTTGGGCTGGTTGGCCAACTCAGTGCATGTCAGTCTTAGTGATCAGTTGTCTGGTCGCTTGGCTTTTATATATATATAGATTGTAAATACAAGTTAATACTGCCTTTTGTACCTCAGGAATAAACCATATGTCTCTGAAACAGCTTATTTCTAGGTCCTAGAATTCTGACTAAATGCTTGATGAGTGTGGCTATGGCACAACCATTCCAAACAATGGATTTAAATATGTCTCTGATATAAGGTAGTGACTGCCAGATTTCCTTTTTTTAATTTTTTTTTATTGGTGCAGCGGTTGCCAACCTTTTGGACCTCACAGATCACCAGTGGTCCACAGACCACCGGTTGGTGACCGCTGCTCTAATGGTATAGTAAAAGAAATGGACAAGGAGCCAGAAGGCTTGGGTGCTAGCAAGGGCATGCACCTGGGTTGCAGGTTCAATCACTGGCCTGGCCCTGTCAAAGTGTGAGGGAGAGGCAACCAATCAATGTATCACATCTCTCTCTTTCTTCCTCTCCCTGCCCTAACCTTATCTTGGTGTGAAACCACTGGAAAGTCCAAAACTCTAGGCCTCAGTTCCTATATCTGCAAACCGAAGGACTGACCCAGTTCTCTTCTGATCCTATCGATATATCTGTCCTTTTCACATGTGACTATAACATATATAATCACTAAAAATGCCTACATCCAAAAGTATCAAAAGTACCAAAATAAAGGCACAAAGTTAATAGCATACTTACGGGTACGATCCCTGTTCCAGGCATGACAGGTGATTGGCTCTAGTAAAAACTGATGCAGGGACATTATTCTTAGTTGTTTCAAAGGATACAAAGCTGCAAGGACAACAATAAAAAAAGCATTTAAAATGACAGGCAGCCAATATTTAAATTGTCTGGGGATCTTGAATGTTTGGGAATAAATAAAACATTATTCTCCCATTAAAAAAGAATCTCAATGTTAAAACTTAATCATTTAAACACAACTAGTATTGTAATCACTAATATATAATTTATTCTGTCAAGAGTCATCAAGGGACTTTAAAACCATGGGTTAAAGATTGTTGAAGTACAGGATATTCAGACAGTCTCAAGTGATCATCCTATAGATTACTTACTAATCACAAAGAGAAAAACATGCTTTTACAATAAAAAAAAAAGGTAATCTGGCAGTTACTACCTTAACTGAATGATCACACTTAGTATCATAAATAGTGAACCAATATAATCTGAGGACCTCCTGGTGGGAGGCAACATGAAGTGCATATCATCTATATCATAAAAAGCCTGTGGCTGTCACGCCATCACGCTATAACAACTGATCAGCAGGAGGCTGTGTGTGTGGGGTGGGCAGGGTTGCAGGCACGGAGAGGCGTACACGGGTGGGCGGGGACTTGACTCTGGAGAACTTGACCGAAGGTGCAGGTGGGTTTCTGGGTCCTGCCTCCCGCATTGTCCTCATAGTCATCTGCGGGACTCTTCTGGGTCCCGCTGAGCTGCGAGACTCTGGGTCCTGGATCTCTCGTGATTTCATGCGCTGGGCCTCTAGTTATTTATAAGTAGTGACCACTTAATGTATCATCCAGACCAGAATATATATATATTTTTTTAAATATATTTTTATTGATTTTGTACAGAGAGGAAGGGAGAGAGATAGAGAGTTAGAAACATCGATGAGAGAGGGTCATCGATCAGCTGCCTCTTGCACACCCCCTACTGGGGATATGCCTGCAACCAAGGTACATGCCCTTGACCGGAATCGAACCCGGGACCCTTCAGTCCCCAAGCCAACGCTCTATCCATTGAGCCAAACCGGTCTCGGCCAGAATACTTTTTAGAGAGCAAAAAGGGCCCAGCTGGCGTGGCTCAGTGGTTGAGCATCTACCTATGAACTAGGAGTCATGGTTCAATTCCAGGTCAGGGCATATGCCTGGGTTGTGGGTTTCATCCCCAGCGTGGAGTGTGCAGGTGGCAGCCGGTCAATGATTCTTTCTCATCATTGATGTTTCCATCTCTTTCTCTCTCCTTCTCTTTCTCTATTCCTCTCTGAAATAAATAAATAAATAATATTTTTGAAAATAGAGAGCAAAAAGTGGCACTATTAATTATGCTCCAATAATAGGTCACAGGACTATCCTGGAGTAACCTGGTAATATGGTCAACCTAGCTATGAAGTATTTATGCAAAATATATTTACTCTAAATCTAATAAAGATCCAGACTCAATTTCCAGTTTATAGAAAAGAAAAAGAATTAAATACCATAAAAACAAACAAACAAAAAAAAACAGTAAAAACCAGAGTGTGTGCCATATTATAAAACAACTGGTCTGAACTATTAAAAAAAGACAAGTTGGGGTGAGGACTATTTTAGATTAAAAGAGCTATGAAAATCAAAGTTGATATGTGAAACTTGATTGTAATCTGTATTTTTAAAATAGCCATAAAAGACATTTTGTATATAGAGTAAATTTGAATTTGGGCTACATATTATGTAACAATACAGAATTATTTTCAATTTCTTAACTACAATGGTTTGCCCTGAGGTAGGATAATGTCCTAACTCTTAGATGATAAAGATGATGAAGTGTGATGATGTTTTCTGTAACTTATTTTCAATCCTTCAGTACTTGTAGATATATAAAGAGCAAATGTGGCAAAATGTTAACAACAGGTGAATCCAGGATAAGAGTATGCAAGTATTTGTTATATTACTCTTTAACTTTTTATTGTAACTAAATGAAAAGCAGGAATATATGAAATATTACTAAATTAAAAATCAAATAAAATTCTCTATTTTATAGGCACTCAAATCTAGATCCACTTAAGAAGCAACCATTACCTGAAATAGGAGAAATTTTTTCAAAAAGCACCCCATTTTATAATTCCTAAGAGACACTCTCATAACACTCTGAAGTTTCAATACATGTTAAAGTACAAGTCAAATTAACCTAGGGTGGAGACTGAAATGTGAAATAGGAATTCTGATGTAAGCAGGAAATAAATGCAAGGGCAGAGAAGGTTGTGAACAATCGAAGTTCAGCAGACAAAGAAGTTAATTTCAGTGGAAAGCAGAAAAAAGTTAATTTCAGTGGAAAGCAGAAAAAAATCTCTACTAATTGTTGTAAAGGAACCCAAAGGTAAAAAAGAGATAAGTGCATCCTTAAATAAAACATTTGATATCTTGAACTGACAGAGAAATATCAGTGTTTATTCCAAGGGTGAAGATGGTTAGGACATTAATTTTTTACTTTTGCATGTTCTAGAAATAAAATTGCCATTCACAAATATAGAAAAAGCCTCTAATAGGAAAATAAAACAATTTAAAAAATCAAATGAGACTGCTTATTTTAAAAAATATATATTTTTTATTGATTATTTACAGAGAGGAAGGGAGATGGATAGAGAGTTAGAAACATCGATGAGAAAGAAACATCGATCAGCTGCCTCCTGCACACTCCCTACTGGGGATGTGTCCGCAACCAAGGCACATGCCCTTGACGGGAATAGAACCTAGGATGCTTCAGTCCTCAGGCTGACGCTCTATCCACTGAGCCAAACTGGTTTCAGCTAATTTATTTTTTTAAACAAATGTTCATCTCTCTCTCCCCCAATTTTTTTTTTTTGGAGGCAACCAAAATTTTTGGTGGCCTTGTTTCCCACAAAACTTAAAAAAAAGTTTAGCTCTGGTCAGATGACTGGAGCACTGTCCAGTGTACCAAAAGGTTTTGGGTTCGGTTCTCGGTCAGGGCACAAATTTTAGGTTGCAGGTTATGTCCCTAGTTGGGCCTCATAGGGGAGACAACCAATTGATGCTTCTTTCTCACACCAATGCTTTTCTCTCTCATTTCCTCTTTCTAAAATCAATGAATATATCCTTGGGTGAGGATAAAACAAACAAAACACCTTTCTGACTCACTGCATGATTCTCTTTATCTCTGACATCAGATGCTCACCCATCACAACAGGTTTTACTCACAGTTACTAAAAATAACATGTAGTGTTACAGATACCTCCTTAATGAAAAGCACTTTAGTTTACAGCTACACTTTATATGGTAATTTGTTAAGTAAAACAAAATTTGTCTTCAAGTTAATAATTTAATGTGAAGTCTATATGCAATAAAAGCACATATTTCACCTATGGTTAAAAAAGAGCAGTTGCAGACAAAGGTTTTCTCATTCTTCAATTAATTTTGTAAGTAATGTAGCAAAGCCTTCTAAAGAGGTAAGCATTTACACATTGTCATAATTACTTCTAATATTGTATTTCTAATTTTGTTATTATTCAAGAGCCATATTTGGACACAGGCTCAGACCTGTAATTCTTTTATAATCATGTGGCTATTTTAAGTCATTAGGCCAAGACAACAGTCATGTTTATCAAATTTATAAGGCACTCAGTACACGCAACCTGTATTCATGAAACGCAGTGAATGGAGCATAATAATAGCTTGAATCTTGTACCAAGATAAAGATAAGTTCTACCATAGGGTAATAATTATCATTTCTAAACTGTGATTAGTATTTAAGTTAAATTTCAAAACCTTTGTCTTCATGAGGGTAGAGAGGAGAAAAAGGGGCAGACAAGAAGGTGATGACATTAAATTTAATAAGCTCCTATTGATGACCTTTTATTGTCTAGCTCTAAGATGATTTATAGTATAATATGATTCCAGGAATTCTCCCTCCCTTCAAACTCCTTTATTTATCACTTTGAGTAGAGTCATTTTGATGTTTAGTTAGCCATGGGCTCTGGAGCCAAGGGAACATGGGTTTGAATCCTGCTGTTGACACATACAAGCTATAAGATCTTAGTATCTTTAAATCTTATTTTTTTTAATCTGTAAAATGCACATATCACTGGCATCCCAAGGCTGTTGGTAGGAGGATTAAATGAAATAACATGTAAAAGCATGTAGTACAGTACAAAGCCTAACTCAGAACAGATGCTCAATAAGTTAATTCCCTTTCTCCCGTTGACCCAAGGCTTTTGAACCATCCCAAGAAGTACACACCAGTTAGTATCCTCTGAACTTGGCCCTGGAAAGTATTTGTACAGTGGAAATTTCAGTTCCCTGTTTAGAGTCAGTTTTCAAGATTATGATTCATCTAGTTTCTAATTGCTCTCATTACCCAGCCCAGCAATACCAGGTACTCCAACAAGGTCACCACACCCTCCACACATTCAGAGACAGATTCCAACTTCCGGCACCAGCCTCACCAGCCAAGCATTTTGAACTTCTTTATGCAAAATTTGTTTTAGCATAGGATTAGTCAACTCGATTGGAATACTGGCCCTCCCTCTCCAAGCAGGAGTTTTAATTTTTCCAAGATGAACCCCCTCCTTAAATTGTGATAAGTAGATGGATTGACTTCAGAAATTCTCTGACTACTTTGTGATAGGAAGGAGCTAGTTAACACCAATTCCTTAACAGGGCAAAAATACCCGTCTGCTTTCCTCTCTTCTGTTTTTATATACCCAAAAAAAACCCAGAGCCTATACGAAACCCAAAAGGTTAGATAAAACTGATAAAAGACGACAGAAGTAGGATAATTTAGGCGATGAGTTGAGGCCCACAAAAACAGGGTCTAACGTTGCAATATGAGAACAGATGGCGTTATAATCAGAGTCAGAGTCACAATGTAAGTGCCTACTAGGTTCCCGGCAGTGTAAGTACCAGGTCGGGGCCAGAAATATAAGTCAATTTGACACTTTTCTGGACCTCGAGTGAGGAGTGAGGGAGGTTAGGAGGAAGGGAAGATAAATATGCCAAGAATGCACAGAAGCAATAATAATAGCTACTATGT